GTGTGGGTGTGGGTGTGTGGGTTTGTGGGTTTGTGTGAGATGTATGTGAAAACACACGCAAAACAGCCTCAGCAGCACCATACCGATGCAATACTCCAGTAGGAAAAAAAACACCCATCGAAGTGAGTCAAGTCAATGGGCAATCCTTTAATTAGCATTGCAGGTCCGCTTGACATCCAAACAACAGAAAAGAAGTACAAGACTGAAAGGCAGATAAACAACAGTGAAGCAAAGAGCATGGGGCAACGAGACATCCGACGACAAGCAACAGCAGAGGGACATAGGCTGGAGGGTAGAGGGGAGGTGAGTGGGCACACAAACAGCACAAGGCATGGGAGGAAAAGGCAGCGAGGCAAAAAAAGCAGCGGAGAAGAACAATCCAAGAACGAAAAACAAATACAGAGCAGGAAAAAAAAAAAAACTGATGACGGTAGATTGTTTTGACAGAATTCCACAGCCTCATCGGGAGCCTGAATCCTCGACAATCTCCAGAATCTCGTGCCCTTTGGGTCATGAAGCTTTTGAGTCTTTTTGACACTTGTTGAAAGCAGACAGTCACTGCCAGCAGGCGACACCACAAGTGGAGCATAGCAGCAGCCAGCAGGCAAAAGACTCAGTGGAGCACAAGCACCAGGCGACGCTAGCGGGGCTACCCACCTGCACAACACCAGAGCTAACTGCATGGAACGACAGCGCAGACGGATTGGAAGCAAGGCAACAAAACAGAAACGCACAAGGCAACGCTGCCAAAGCAGCCAAACTACACGGTTTACAAGCAGAGAACACGGATAGGCCAGGACGCGGATGGGCGGCAGGCAACAACTCAGCGAAGCTCAAAGCAACTCTGACAAGCCAACCAAACTACACAGCAAACAGACAAGCTGCAGCAAAAAAAAAGGCATGGCACGCAGGTCGGAAGCAAGGGAGCAAAGGAGTGCAGACAAGGCACTCCACACTTCCAACAGGGACCAAAGCAATCCATCACCTACTCACACCACAAGTCGAACCCCGCAGACTGTTGGTTGCCACCACCTGCTGAGCCAGGGAGCTACTCCGATGAACATCCATCATCACCCATAGGTCGACACCCAGACATCCGAAACAGAGCGCACCCCCCCCTCCCCCCAATATCGATTCACTAATAGAGCAGGGCGCTACAAACAAGGAATGACTGATGGCACTGCTTAGGAGTGCTCGCTTAGACACACAAGCACTACTCAGAACAAAAAGGAAGAAAGATATACAAAGAAATTTGATGCAGTGAGAAAGACATTAAAAACCTGAAAGCAAGACATACATAAAACTGTGTGTGTGTGTCATGGCAACCGCGGACCCGGACCCGGACATGTCTGGACCGAGGCCCAGACATTTGTCTGGACTGGTCCAGACGTCCGGTAATCCGGACAGGCACCGGACAACCGGACAGGACAGGACCGGACCCGGACCGTCTGGACCGGTATACCAGACACAAAAAATGTCCGGACCGGAAAAAAACAAACAAACTTAGTAATAAGCAGTAGTACTCAGTACTAACCACAGCTTACTGTCTTTCAGTATTCACAACTTGACAGCTTCATACTGTCACAGACATTCACAAAGGCTCACACAACACTTGAAACCAGTTCTCAACAGACCAATCCCAAGTCACTTCAGAAAAAGAGTGCGAAAATCAGAAAAAAAGTTTAAAAAACAGAACTTTGAACTTTGAAGTTAGACTTTCTAATTCATATTCATATGAAAATTGAAAATTTAAACTGTTAAGTTATTCAGATCTGCGTAAGAAGTATTAAGAACAGATCTGAGATCTGGTCAGGACCAGATCTAAGACGGGATCTCAGATCTGACCAAAATCTTCTCTCTCTCTCTCTCTCTCTCTCTCTCTCTCTCTCTCTCTCTCTCTCTCTCTCTAGCTTGATGTTCTTTGGCGCTTTGCAGCCAGCGCTTCATTTTTGGAATCAGATCCATCCTCATCCGATGAACTACCAGTGTAGTACAACAGCAGAGGGAGCTGTTGGAAGCGTCTGGCGGCGCCCGTTAGGCCCTGAAATGGCCAAACGTCCGTTAGGCCCTGAAATGGCCAAAAAATACCGGGGGCATTTTTTGGGGGCGGCCTAGGACCCGAAAAACGTCCTAGGCCCCCCCAAAAAAAAATTCGAATTTTTCAAAATTGGGTCCAATCCAGACCTACCGGACCAGACACCGGACCCATACCCAGACAACCGGACCGTCTGGATTCCGGTCCAGACGTCCGGCTGGTTGCCATGGTGTGTGTGTGTGTGTGTGTGTGTGTGTGTGTGTGTGTGTGTGTGTGCGCGCGCGGCCCTCTCTCTCTCTCTCTCTCTCTCTCTCTCTCTCTCTCTCTTCTTTGTTCAAGCTAGGACGTGTTGTCTTCCTTTTGTTTATTTTAATATTATTACGTAGTTTAAACATTTATATAATCAAATTCAAAAAATTCAAATCACATTACACACCATGTAATATGGCATGTATTACATAGTTTAAACATTTATATAATCAAATTCAATAATTTCAAATCATATTACACACCATGTACCTTGATATCCTCGAGCCAAATGCCTCCGCAGCTGGTGAAGCCGCCATTGCACGTGTCTTCACTAAATGATCATCAAGCAGAGTCTGGGCTTCATCTATGGGTCCTCCCTTGAAGATGGCGTGGCCAGTTTCACCCCAGGGCACAAGTTCAAATCTCAGATCTTTCCAATCGTTCTCCATAGAATCCAGCATGCGCTCCAACGTATGCTCTTTCGTGGCTGTCTCGCTGATTTCATCCAAAGCTGGCAAGTACTTGCCGATCTGTTTTTTCAAACACATCCCAGAACCGGGGTGTAACACAAGCTGCTCAACACATTCGAGAGTGTCTATCTAATACGATGACCCTGCCATGCATGAAAAGGAGGACGGTGAGGGTGGAGATGGTGACGGAGAGGAGCTGTCCAGCAAAGGAGGCGACCGCTCAAGCACACCCCTCACACTCAGACTGTACATGAGATACCCCAAGACTCACAACGCCGAATCCATCAAAAGACAGACTGCTGGTGGGGTATACCCCCAGTGGACTGACTGGACTGGACTGGACTGGACTGGAAAGGACAGGACTGGACTGGACTGGTGCCGACACCGGTACCGAACGAAATAATAAACGGCCTGTGAGATCAGGCCCCCACGGCCTGGTCCCACAGGCCGAACAGTCACACAGTCAAATAGAAAGATGGGCCCAGCTTAACGCCGCGCACAGAGTACCGCTGCAAATATGATACATCCCTTCTTTGCTTCATGCGCCCCCCACTGCCACAATGACACTACATGCAGCCTCTTCCTCTTTGACAGCTGCTGCCAAGATAGTCTGACTGGAGCCACCCCCCCTCAAATTAAGTGGAAAGCTGATATTTGAAGTGTCCGTTATTTTTTATCTTCTTGGCAGGATTTGAACCTGGAACCAAACAAAACAAGTGCAGCTGTTTTGTTTTTCTTTACGGTTTGGAAGCTGGTGACTTGCTTGACCTGCGTGTACAGTCCTTCAGCATCGCCACACCACTCTCGAAATGTGCAAAATGAGAATGAACTTCCGTCCAGAACATGGGCAGCTGCACCCACCACATTTTTGTCTTTTTCACATTTCGAGAGTGGTGTGGCGAGGCCCTTTCTCTGCCTATCATAGTGGTAGGACCCCTGCAAAGGATCCTTGTTTTTTCTTGACTGTATTGTACAGTCAACACGGCTCGGCGGTACTGCCTGTTTTTATTGTATCTGGCATGTGCACATCGCATCGCATCGCATCGCATCGCATCACATCACATCACATCACTGTCCGTGCGTGTGTGTGTGTGTGTGAGAGAGAGAGGCAAGGACATGGCTGTCCTGAACAGCATTTTGAATGTATCTGGATGCACACATGGTCCACATGCACTCTGAATGTGGCCCGGACAATGGGCCACATTCATTATGAATGCTGTGTACTGCACAGATAGTGCAAAGTTTTGTTTTTGTTTTGTTTCTGATTTTTTTTAAAATAGTAGATTAGGGGGAAAGAAAAAAAAAAAAAGCGAGGAATGAGGCCTCGCAGGGCCCTTAACAGACATGCACATGGTCTGGGCCAAGGCCCTCAGAATGCCCCGTGCCTGCCCTAAGTGAAGGCGGGCCTGAATATTCACAAGAGGCCAAAGTTCAACATTCTCCATATGTGGGTACTCAGACAGTTGGTCGCACGCCAGTTGGTTACTCAGACGTGTGAGCCTACCTGCACCAGGCAATTGTGCCTGGACTCCACATTGTGAAGCAGATACATCACAAATTGGCCAAGGGCCTATGCAAAAGCAGCATTGTCGACATACGTGCCCCAGGGCCTGGGCAGATACAGGAAACGGACCGAGTCTGGGTGCGCCGAACTGAAAAAGGCCCAGGGCCTGGGCGCAGACACTGGGGCCTGACCGGAAGCTACTGGAAGCTTCCCAGCCACACCACACGCGGCCAGACACGGGCTGCCACTTCCATATAGGGACAGTGGCAGCCAGGGTCTGGTATTCTGGCCCACACAGGCAATGTGGTCACGCTGCTGCGCTGCTGTGTTAGAGGCTGCATGCTGCGTTGAGGCCAGGGCGCATACGGGCGCTTGAGAGGTGAGAGGGGCGCTGCTGGGCAGCGGAGCACGAGCAGCCATAGCCGGGCTGCAAGGCACTAGGGGGTAAGAGGGCGATCGGTGGTCTTCAGGAAGGAGGCGAGTGTGGGTGGTCAGGGTCTGATGAGGGGAGACGAGATACGTACCTGGTGCATGAGGGAGGTCGGCTATGGTGTTGACGTCAAGTACATTGGTCTTCAAAGTTGAAGTGAGCCTGTTGCGTGAATGCTGATGTAGGTAGGATAGGCAAGTAGTGTAGGCTGGGCGCTGGGCGCCAGACAGAGAGGAGCAACATTGGATACTGTGTTGGTGTGGCCTGAGGGCTTGAACATTGGCTCATGACTTCATTGTATTGCTCTTATTTGGATGGAATCTCGGTGCATTTGTGCTCTCTGCTTGTACATGACTACTTGGACATCTGTGTGATTTCGCAACTTGGCTTTCTGTATATTGTTCTCAACTTCTCACTTATATTCCTTGCAAAAAGAGGGGGGTAGCTCATTTGTAAGCGCAGCGGCCGCAGTCCCCTGTATTTTTTTATTTATTTATTTATTTTTTTTTGGGGGGGGGGAGGATTTCGGGGCTGCAAAAAAAAAATGCCGTACCCCGTTCGCAGGTCACGGCCAGGCGCTCACTGCCACTGTGACCGGGTGAACGGGACGTGGCCATGGACCCCCCAGTTCATGAACAGGGGGGAAACACTGGTACCACTTAGCCACATGTTGGGTGGTGGCTGACTACTAATTGGATTGGATCCCTAATTAATTCGTGTATGTTTACCAGTGTGTACTCTGTGCTTGGACAAACATAGAAGACTTCATTCCCTCTGAGGCCGGCTTCGGAATTTGCCGACCTCTTCCTCCCCGCGGATAATTCTTTGGTGGAACTGATCTGAAACCACCATTGCCCGACCGCCCAAACGCACTCCGCCTCACCTCGCAAGGCATCCGTGCCAACACCAACCCCCCTCACACAACAGCCGCATGTTCAAAAGACCTGGCTATGGAGGTGCTATCCACAGAAACAGGGGTGCGCCAAACACTACCACACCCGATGCCCCTGTCCAATGACTAAAGCAGTGCTAACCTGTAGCACGGCCGCCCCTAGTGCTCCCGGATTTGCGTGAAATTCGCCAACAAATTGACAGAGTTTGAACTTTGAACCCAAACCTTCTTTTTTTTCCATTCAAACACAAGTTGCAGAAGGTTGCAGGTAGGTGCACATTCCACAATACCTCCACTGCATAGGATTGATTGCGCTCTCTTCATTGTTTGATTGGTGCTTCCAGCAGACTCAAAGGGAGTCAGCAGAAGCATCAGTCAATTTACAGTGCTTCAACTACTCAAGGGGGGAGTTAGGGAGTTGGATTGGCCTGATGGTAGATTTGATTGCAGAAGCCACTAGCTTTTTTTTTTTTTTTTTTTTTTTTTTGCTTTTTTTTTGAAAGGAGGATTTTGTATTAGTAATGCTGCCAACCGGGTCCAGTATCCCTTACAACATTAGATGTACTCACTCAACGCTTCTCCCCCTTATGGTCGGGCGATCCTGAGGCAACCACCTTCCCACTTGGGATTTGTTCCTGTGTACAGTTTCAAAGTATACATACATCAGAAAGAACAATGCCATCCAATTGCAAAAAGAAATGAATGAACTTGAGAGGGGAAGAGGGAAAGAAGAAGAAGAAGAAGAAGAAGAAGAAGAAGTACGAAAGAAGAAGAAGATGATGTACTCTAGTATACACCAATGACAAGGCTCTTCTCCTTCGCCAACCAATCTCCTCCTCCTTATCTCCTCCCCTCTTATTCAAACAAGAAATAACAATAATAATGTTGAATGGTTGAACCAGAATCAATGTCCGAATCCCACTTCTACTGCAGGCACAACATGAGGTCCACCATAGCCATGGCCACCCTTCTCCTTCCTCTCACATGTAGGCCGAGGCTATGGCGGACTACTGAGGGCTCAACCCTCCTGTCCAAAGGACAACCCAAAGCAGCTATGTCGCTGCCTCCCTGTGCAAAGAACAACGCAAAGCAGCTATGCCGCTGCTCACTAGGCCGCCATGCCTGCCTCTGCCCCGAGCTTCCTTGGTGCGGAACTACCCCAACGGGGGCCTTCCAGATGCAGCGCCTAACAAGTTGATGAAGATGGTGTCCACCATAGCCAGGTAGGTACCTCGCCACTTTCCTCCTTAGTCCCCTTCTCCCTCCTCCTCCTACCTCCCGACTTCTTCCTCCCAGCAGCGCTGTAGTACCCAGCGCTACTCCAGCCAGCGCTCCAGCAGCGTGTCGCCAAACTTGCACACTGAAGAATGAGGCCGGGCTCTTCCCTCGGCGTCTTGATATAGCGGCCTACTTGCCTCCACTGGGTGCGGTACCAGCCTACCTGCTACTTTGAGTGTTTTTCTGCTGCTCTAAGCACCACGGGCCCCTGGCTCCGCTACTTGACTGTTTTCCCTGCAGCAACCCTCAATGCCACGGCCACAGGTAAGTACCGGCCCTACGGGCCTGCCAAACAAGCAAGTATCCTTGCGGGTCACACACACACTCATACCGACAAGCACTCAGACAGGCACGCAGATCAACAAGGACACACACACACAGACTTAGAAACTCAGCAGAATGTGGAATCTCAGCAAGGCATCCATTCCATCGGCAGAACTCCAGAAATCAGCAGTGTTCTCAGTCTGTGTTATGGCGGGTCATTATGGTTTATGGAGTTTGCACCTATTTGTGTGTATTTGGTCATTAGTTTACTACTTTCTTTGATCTTAATTGGCCTTACACTACCCTCCCGTCAAGAGCGAGTTCCCTTCGAGCGAGTAACTCAATCAGAGTCCCTGCATAATGCATCATAAGCGTAAATGGCAAAGAGAGATCGGGTATGTTCCGCTGGAGTGAGGGTAGCAGTAAATTTAGGTTGCTGTTCGGAGTTAATCAGTCGTTCATATGCGTCGATGACTCGCGGGGCACTCTGCAACAAGTCTTTCTTAGCAATCCAGTAAAAGTCATTCCATGGGTGGTATAGAAAATGAACTTTGTATTGTCTGTTTCTCCCCTTTCCACTGCGCTCGACAATTCTGTCAACCTCGTGACCGCCCCTGATTGTGCGAGGAATCGTCGATTCTCAATACGGAAAAGTTTCAGGTGGTTCATACGGAAACAACTTCGGCGCGTGA